TCAGACATTCCGCTGTAGCTTGTAGCCGTTCCATATACACAGTGAAAATCTGTCAGGTCGCTTTTGATTTCCTGAGCCCTCTTTCGTTGCGATTTTCCTGGTGATAGCACCCATGTCCACAGTGCGTCCTATATGTTTGGACCGATCGCCGTAATGCAGCCATGACTCCTAATTTCCTCTAACGAAAGTTGCGCTGCTATAGGATACCCGGAGAGTCTCTAACAGTTCTCCGGCCATCCAATCCGTCATTTGTGTTGGAAGGCAAATGCGCACACACGTAGCTACGGTTGAAACACGTAGAAAGGCGAGCTAAGCCTTGGAATTTGCTGCACCGTTTAGCGGGGGCTCATAGTCTACCGATTTAAGTGGCGAGCAGTATGGTAAAACTTGACCCAACAAGATATAACATGTCTATCCTCTAACGAAGTACTCCTATTACTTCCAGTCAAGACGTGTTGTGAGCAGTAATTTAGAGGCCTAACTCGCATAACCCATTTGGCTTATGTGTCGAACAGTTAGGTACCTTACATACTTTGCAACACCAAAAACTAGGTTTCCATTTAAATAGACCAAATGCTTTGAGCCAGAGAAATAAATGTTTGATAGGTGCTGATCATCAGATTGGCGATAAGTCGCTGAAGGGGGTGTAAGCTTTTCTTCATTGAGAAGAGAATGCTCAGCTCAGAGAATGCTCAGCTGACAAGAATCGCAACGTTTAGCTTGCATCACCGAGCCATAGTCAGACTGCGGCTGTTGGACCCGAAGATGTAGATCGTTTCACTGTGCTACATTTCTCAAGGAACTGTCAAGGTAATGACCCGGGGTCACCTGACGCTTCGGCGTGACGGCTCAGCATGTCATATGTTCACATACCAATGGGTGCATCAACATCCATGGATCCAGGCTCAATTGTGCGCGCCTCAATTGTTGGTGAGTTCGTGCGCGCACCTGCGGTTCAACACATGTAACGGTAGGTTGGCCGAACACACGTTACAGATGCCCTGGGTATCCTACAACAGCGCAAATTGCGTCGGAGGAAAGTGCTAGTAATGGCTGCATTAAAATGATCAGTCCAAACATATGGGACGTACTGTTATCAATTCACGCCAAAATTAGTTTTCTCCACTTATGTGGGCGCATTTTTAACCCCTCACATTAACTCTTCGCAGCTAATGAAACAAAACTATAGGAAAGTAAACATTGATAACGATAAATTGGGGGAGAGTCACTGGACGATAGTTTGCAGGAACTCAACGGCTACTGCCGTTAAAAATAGGGGTAATAATGCCACGCTTCCACGTGGTGGAGACTTGTTGTTCATCAAAGCACCGCTGGAATTACTGTGGCAGTGGTTCAGCTAGCTTGTTGGCTACAGCCTTCAGTGCCTTCGGGCGGATGTTGTCTGCTCCCGGAGAATTATGCTCACGCAGTGAGAGTAACGTCATCAGCACAACTGATGGATTGAAAATTACATTTGTAAAAAGTAGTGTCGGTAGTGTCGAGTCGAAAAGTCTCTTTACGCCTGCACAGTATGGTTTGGTGAATGGTCGTTCATGTATCACTAAATGCATTGACTCTAGCAAACTGGCCATCTATCCGCCGATCTTTCTGACCGCTGTTTAGGATGTGACATTTGAGTTCGTGAAGATAGGTCATCTGCAGCTTCCCGAGTCGAAAAGTCTCTTTACGCCTGGTTTCGTGAATGGTCGCTCATGTATCACTAATGCTCTCTAGGCGAGACACGAATGCTTGCAAAAACTAAACCAAGGAAGCCGGTTGACGTCTTTTACATTGGCTTCAATAAGGTTTTGGTGAGGTGAATCATGAGATCCTCCTTCACAGGAGGTGTCGACGGCTCACAGCACCAATTAATCAGGAATTTCCTTGTTGGTCGAAAGTGGAGAGTCCAGTGGCGTGATGTAACGAACCGCACGTTGACCAATTTTGTTCCCGATCCATCTAAACGATGTATGTCAGCTTCTCCGCTTACATGGTGCGCTGTTTGTAGATAGCTTAGAGGTTTGTGGAGCAACCAGTACACCCGATGACTGTGACCTGCTTTGGATTGGCACTGGTCTCCTCTCTATGTGGTTTGCATAGGTCAACCATCCGATAGACCCGGTCAAGTCGCGGTTCATGAAAATGCGTATGGGCGGACACGCTTCTACATACACTGTGGCCGGTCAGCCGTTGCATCCTGCATCTTTCATGAAAGACTTCGGTGCACTCTCGTGCTGCGCCCTACAGTTCGTGGACAACACGATTACGAGTTACCAAAACGAACTTCGCATGCCTTGGGGGCTGAAGCGCAGCTCCTGTATTTTGTCGGAAGAGATTGCCACTAGCCTTTTTGTCTTAATCCTATTACGAATGTTGGCGTATGGCTCACTCGCATACTATCCCATCACCCGAGGTAAGGTACAAACGGTTGAGCATTAAGCTTACCCCACTTTACTAGGCGTGACCTAGCAAGACCGGTGCAAGAGACTGGGACTTTACACCATGGCTTATCTTCGATCGACAGTTGATCTCTTCGTGATGCACTGGATATTACGTGTTTGTGAGTACCCTGTGTTGTGGCCGCTGCTCCATATGCGCATGCCGAGCAGAACACGAAGACATATGTACAAGCTTTTAGTGCCGGATTTGAGACGTGTGGCCCACCAACCATGTTTCGCACAGAGATTAGTGAATATATGGAACAACCAACCGCCGCACGTAGTCGACGTCTAGATGTTGTCGGAATGCAAGTACTTCCTGGACAAGCACCTTATCCCCATGAAAAATGACGCGAATGTTCTCCAAAATAACAGATCAATATGTCTCCATGAGACCTTAGCTGCAGCTACACAGAAGCATCTATTCTAACTGCTTCCATCCGGAATCCAGCATTTAGTATACATTGGAACCGAAAGCAATGAGACAATTAGCTACTCGGTGAGTTTAGCCAAGGCCATGGAGTTAAGAATTTCTCGGCTGAGAACAACGGACACCCATAAGTTCATCACTCAATGAGACAAAACAATAGCTATCTGGGCACCAACGGCCCAACGTTAGTAAGATACTTTGTTCCAGCGGTTTGCTTGCTTGTTTGCAAAGGATTCGGAGATGGTGTTTAATTATCTCAGCCAGAAGAGACTAAACAATGGATAAACAAACAATGAACTTCTCTCATGCAAGCGACTCTTCCTAGAACTGCATCCACCATTTATGCTATATTGGTTGGTCAGTAGTGCAAACTGAATGTAGGTGTTACGGGAATATTAAAATTAAGGCCATCAATACTAACAGGAACGCCAACGGTAATGCGATGGTCTCGTGCGCTGTTGCAGATGAGTTAGACTAGCTTGAACCTCTTATTCAGACAAAAATAACCTTTAAATCAGTTAGTTCCCTTTAGTAACTTGAAAAGCACAAGTAGAAGACGAAGACGACGCCTGGGCAAACCGGAGGAGCCGATTCCAGTTAAATTCTTAAGAGAATCATTACTTCCATGAACAGAGAATGTCGATTTCCACTTTCGAAACATACCGTTTCGCCAAATTGATGGGATAGCCATGGGCAGCTCACTGGGTTCTATACTAGCGGATTTCTTCATGCTGATGATAGAACGAAACCTATGCGAAGAAATAGCGCAGTTGACCTATTACAAACGTTACGTGGACGATATCTTGGTGTTCAGTTCAACAGAAATGCAGATCGCAGAGCTAGTGGCGTGTTTTAACTCATGGCATGTCATTTTGAGGGTTTCCTGCGAAGTCGAACAACAGGACTGTCTTCCATATTTGGATGTTCTTATCAGCCGCAGGGATAACGGACTGGTAAAAAGGTCTGTCTACGAAAAACAACGTGGTCGGGACAGTATCTGCATTTTAGCAGCTTTACGCCAATGCGGCACAAGCGAACGCTTGTGAAGACCCTGTTTAGTCGCGCCAGACGAATATGTTCGACCGATTGTCTAGCCGATGAAATAGCACTAATTACCAACACGTTAATTGCTAATGGTTACCCTCGAAACTTTATCCGAAAGCACAGCGAAATCCGTGAAAAGAAAGTTGCTGTACCTATTGTGCCTATGAAAAAGGTATTCTTAGAGCTGCCCTTTAAGGGTGACATTGCTTCCTTGAGGACCAGAAGACGTCTGATTTCCGCCACACAGAGCACTTTCTGTGCTGCCGAAGTTGTAATCCTCGACCGAACTTATAAGCTACCGTTACGTCCACTAAAGGAAACTCAGCCTATTGGCGCCAACTCACATTGCGTATATCAATTCGTATGTAACTGCGGGGATAGTTACATAGGCAAAACCAATTGAACACTGAGTTCCCGAATAAAGGAGCATGTACCAAAATGGATTCAATGTGGGCTTAGTCAGCAAGCAAGCCCAAATCAGACTACGTGTGTACGCAGGCCGCCAGCATCTTCGATCGGCAGGCACTTATTGACAACAGGTCACCAAATTTAGTTCAACAAGGCGTTTAGAATCCTGCTTCGCCATACTAATTCCCGGCTCCTCCGGTTTGCCGAGGCGCTTGCCATTAATCGGATTAAGCCCGTGCTTTGTGTTCAAAAACAATTATCGGTCAGCCTCAGGCTGCCCTGGTTGTAGACCAAAGACACCCGCTTTTTCTGGCTTTTGTTTGTATGTATGTCTGTGCCCACAAACTGTTATATAAAATTACCGGTTATCGTTATTGGCGCTGATGAGACGATACGAAATGCATGCATCTACCGAACTTCGTCTTCTACTTTTGCTTTTCAAAAATACCTTTGTCGATTGTGCCCTTGTCAACCGAGTTATTGATTTGCAAGTAAAAACCTATGTGCACTCTTAACCAAGTCTGCCATCTTGCATTCCCGCCGAGCGACCTAACACACAACTGTTCAAGTTAAAGGTACGGGTTATCTGTCAATTGAGTTCGAGACAATGGCATCAAATCGATGCTAGTCCGTCTTGCGCAGAGTGAAGTCACCTCAATAGGTCAGATGTTGTAGTGCAACCTGGAGTTATGCTGTCATCAACAGTTGCATAATTTGAAGCCCACGGAGCGGCGACGAGTGGCTGCAGTTTTGCGTTCGTTTCATGTAAAGTCTTGGAAGAATATGAGCGCCTCACTTCGGCTGTACATTGAGACTGATGATCCGGATTATCCGGGTTGGAACAAACTGAGGCTAAGAGGAAAAGATTTGGAGAACATTCCCGCTGAGTTGTTTATGTTGCAGGATCTTCATATACTCGGGATGAGTCCAGAACGGCAACCTTCGTTGTGTTACCAGCTCACAGAATTACCCCCTGAAATTGGTAAGCAGTTTGTGCGCATATAATTTGATATGAAATTGCAAATCGGTTTCGGTGGATGTACCAGGACGCCTAAGCATTTTACTTGAGTTTATAACACCAACATTCGGTTGCAGAAGCAATCGGAGACCTAATCGATTAGGTGTTCATCTAAGTTTATCATGCTGCTCTCCTTTTTTCTTAGCTAGAGTTAGCATTTGTTACACAAGATACTACAAATAAAGTGCTCCCATTAATACTAATGCGGTGGCAGTGCAGTTATATTCACCTGCATACAGCTTGCTAGCGAATCATTTTACAAATGGTATCATACTGATTAGCAAATAAATCGGAGTAGACCGTTTATATATATATATATATATATATATATATATATATATAATGTACAATGTACTTAAAATAAACGCGCCTTCAGCACCGTGGCAAATTGGAGAAACAATATACAGCATCTGAAGAAACAGATTTCGTGGTTAGTCACACAACATGTTGAGTGTAGTCCTGTAGGGGTTATGTTTAACTGGACATTAACTAATAGATAATGCGATTTAATAAGATTTTCGCAACGGATTTCCGGTAACTGGTAGTCCAAGGCGCGTAGCCATTATCGTGGAAGGCCGACCGGTCTGACGGATACCTCATGCTCCTTCGCCACACCATCGATCGTCCACCGCCGAACCTTTACCAATCGCTTCCGGGAAAAGTAAATAATGTTTGGCGGGTAAGCTTATGGACTGGGTTTCGCAATATGTATCGGAACCAACGCAGGCGGTGTCAGGGAATAAAGTTTTGGAGGTGCAGGCTGTTTGATCTAGGCATACGGTCTCGGATTTCCGAAGGTTGCTCACATGATGTTATCACCACACGCGAGCAATCCTACGTGAACAATGACTGTCAAAATCTGACAATCGTTACGTGGCTTCTGAATGAATAGGACGGATCTCACCGCAGAACAAGAAGAGGCGATGTACGGTGCATATGAATCATGGAGAAAACGATTAGTGAGTGCTTCTGGACGCGAACATGTCGAGTGCCTCGTCGTTACGACTCTAACCTAGCTACAGCCGTTATGCGATGGTGGCGTGAAAGCAGAGAATGAAAACTTTAGGGAACAACGAGAAACCGACAAAAGTCTACACAGATCGACTACTCAGTCAAGCAGGTAATCGAACACAATGTTATCTCTCTTGCGTTCATCTAGCGTGATGCAATAAGGTTAGATTTAACAGTATCTCTTATAATCATAATCGAATGCTGCTTATTTTGCTGTTTCAATTACTATGTGCATTTTACCGGTGGCCCTAAAATATTGAATAAATGCATGTGTTAACGTCACCTAAGCATACTGATACTAACCTGCATGTGTACAACAAACTCAGATGAAGTTATTTTACAGGGAGGAAACATACCTTCGCCTAACAGATGTACCGTTTCGAGTGGCAGTAAGAAAGCCAGGACCACCAGCACTTCGACATTCAAACTTCTTCACTACTGCAGTGATAAAAGAAGAGTATGAGTAACCTATCATAACCTCATGAAGCACTCAATGACTTCCTATCAACCACGGCCTATTTGGAACAGCACTAGTCTCAGTGCAGTTCCGGAAGCGGAGTCCGTCGTTTCATATCTAGGCTTCGTTAAAAAGCCTTTATCGTATTACCTTCCACTAATGCAGGGGAATAACTTTCAACTACTTACTACGCGGTTTGTGAAACCTTTCGCCGGATATCCCGTCTGAACCTCTGCTTCATGAGCTCCAGATGTTGTCCCTAACATGTCGTCCGACGTAGCTAGCTCAAAGTCGTCGGCATTGTTAATAGTACTCATTAGACTATTGGACCTTTTAATTAGGTCACTGTTTAGTCTGCGGCCTTTCAATAAAAATAAGCCTAAATAAGCCAGTCAGTCCACGCTAGCCTTCAATCATTCTGGTGGCCAGTCATAATACTTTCTCTAAGCAAGCGATATACTTTCGAAGGTACAGTGTCCAAACCTGAACACATACTCTGTTTGCCAGACTACCACTTTGTATAAAGGAAGATATACCTCAGGATTTGTATTAGAAAACGCTCCTGCCGCGCCCGGTTAGCAGCATGTCCGCACGGCGCCGAAGGCCTAAAATTATCTACCATGACGATGTCCAAGTCCATTACTTTGTCTACACAATATCGGCTCCTCTACCTTACTGAATTCGCATAATTGCGTCAGGTCACTTCATTCGGTGGCGAATTTATCACGTCATGCAAACGGTACCCTTCTAGCTGGAAGCGCAATCGGTCGTATTGACTGATCTATTGACAAATGAACGAAGTTTCACACCTTCTCAAACCAGGGTTAGACATGGACGGATACTATTTATTAACATCTGTCCCCGCTTCACATACATGCACAAAACGGTCATGGTTAAAATGAATAAAACCTTGACATTGGATGGAATCAATGCCGAGAATTAGCGTGAGCTCTTCCTCCACGATCATAAAATGCAACTAATGTGAAGAGCCGTCTTTGGCATTGATCACTTCGATTATGACCAAACCTTTCGACTAAAGCTTGGAACCGTTCCACATGCGCAGGACTCCCTGATCAGATGGCACACGAATTGCTGGGCACCGCTTCGCTGGAATGATGTTTATGGTAGCACCCGATTCCAACTGGAAAGGCACCCTCTGGTCACCAACCAATAAACTTGCGTGGATGAACTTCTTCGGTTCTATCCGCGGCATGTTACTGATTGATTGTCCAGAGTCGAAAGGCGTTGTGTCGAAGGCTCACAACGTCAAGCGAAATGATTCCGTCTTCCGCATCTGGTGCGAATTCGGCTCCAAGCCGGATATTGATCGCGATCCTTCTAGTGTCGCGCGGTGCAGTAGTTGCATGTTTTGTGTGTCTTGATAACAGGATTCGCAGTTTTGTCGGGTAAACTGGATACGCCGCGTAGCTCTGCTTCAGTCGGCAACCGCATTTGCTAGACGTAGTGTGCAGCTGATGATTCACTATGACATATATCAAGACATTGTCAGAACGATAACTCTCGTTGTTGCAACAGCTGCTTGGTGATGTTTTCATCATTGATCCTCAGTACGAATCTATCTCGGATGAGATTTTCAGCCATACAATTGCAAAAGTTATAGGAACGAGCCAGGATCTTCAGCTCCGTAACGTAGTTGGTGCAAGTCACAATGAAAACGTGCACGACCCAAATGGATATAGTCCATTCGAAATTCAATTGTGACCTATGTGTAAAAACCGTTAAATGTGGTCCAGTTTGCTTTAACTGTCAAAAAGCGTACTATTCAAAGTGTTTAGGGATGAGCGCACTCGAAACTGGACAATAGAGCAGCAAAATTGAATCATTGTGTCCCTGCCAAGTTTGCAAATTCATCCCTGTTGTTAGTTGTACAGTCTTCCTAAGGAAAAGGTGAGAAAATTTGGCGGAGATAGTTGAGCAATTGGTGAACGCTAGCAACGCATCTGGAAAAGTAAACAATGCTACGCTTGCATCTAAACGAACACCTGCAAACTCCCCGTTTAGGCCGAAGTAGAGAGCCAGGCGTCCCAACCTCACCACAGCATCTCAGTCTCCAACGGCCCCTAGCCACATGACTCCACTAAGTGAAAAGTCGTTTACAACCCACCCGCTTCTATCGTCTCCAAGGATGTGATAACTAGTAATTCAGTTGACATACTCGAAACACAAAACTCCAGCAAGCCCACAGTAAAGAATATCTGGACATCCGACGCAGCAGTTTCTTCTAGGATAATGCTATGAAAGACACCTGTGACTCCACTTACAGAAGAGAGCAAAACCGTGCCGTAACATGGATCGCTATCGCCAGTGCGGTCCACGAATCCACAAAAACACAAAAGAAACTAGTGCTCTTAAGCCGCGAACCACAAGGCGGAATCGTGCTGCCTTAAGTCTTGTGTGCACTGACGTTCCTGAATCCAAATCCAACATATTAAGGGGTAAACTAATAGACGATCGTAGTCAGTGGGATTCCATCTGTAGTGCCATCAGCATACGCGCTGAACCCACTACGCTGAGACAAATCGCACGACACCCAAACTCCTTACACTATGGTGTGCCACGACTAATTCGAGTAACACTACATTCCGCAGACGAAATGGAATCCATTCTGCTCGCTGTGAATCGACACCACAGAGCATCAAACGGAGTACGTATCTTACCGGAGGTTTCGTGGTAAGAACGTTCAAAGGATATGAGCAGTCAAGAGGGAAGTAGAAAACACGAACTGAAAACCGTCATTATTCATGGAGTCCCCGAGTCTCAAACTTCATCTCATGAAGAAGCGCAGGCACATGATTTGGAACCATGACGAAACATTCGTGAGGCGTTCTCTTTAGAAAATTTCATTACTACGTTCCTGACAAGGATCCCCGTGTCAAAAACTTACAAAGAGTGTTGTCCTAGGTTGATGAAGTTGGTCTTACCCTCTGAGGTAACTTTACAGAGAGTTCTAGAGAACTGGGGTAACTTTCGGAACATGCTGCCAACACAATTAGACTAAAAGCAGCAGTTTCACGACCAGAGGCTACTGTTTCTCAATGGAGAGAACCAACGCAGTGGGAACACCCATTGTTGCAGAGTCCACCACAGAGACTGATAGGACAGCCGTCATAGCATCCGGCGAGACACCGCAGGAGGTGAGTGACCATCAGGAGCATCATGAACCCGATTGCATGGCGCAGAGTTATTCCAAGTCATTCTCGCGTTCTGAAGACTATTCAAACAAACGAGTAGCAGCCGACCTCACGAGGTTCAGCCAAGTCTCAAGCCTGTTGTCTACACCGACAAACAATCTTCTAACATAGGAATCACTTTCCTGTTTTTATACCAACGCACAAAGTCTTTTAAGCAAACTGACAAAGCTTCGCCTGCGTCAGGCCTCGATGTCAAGGGGCCTCGTTATGCTAACCGAGACCGGGTTGAGTGCAGCGATCACTGATGCAGAAATTGCACTACTTGAGATGTCTATTCTACGCAA